GGTCCAGGAATGAAGGATCTCCTGGGTGACTGTAGAAACTTCTGTTGTACTTCCTCCAGGAGCCCTGGTATCCCTTGAACATGCATACCTTTCCCAGAGAGAGGGACATGGACCGCGCTGTGCGAGGGACCCCGTCTTCTGCAACAGGAGGGAACAGAGAGGAGAGCTCAGGTAAGTTTTTCAGAGTAGCCTCCAGCAGCGAACAGATAGTTAGAAACTAAACCATGGCATCTATGGGCCAGAGGCCTCATGGTCATGCTGCTCTCAGATTCTCTGCATATTACATCACCACTTCTGTAATGGTCTGTACTTTTGGAGCAGGCACTTTTTCCTATGAGTAGGAGAAAGTATTTTTTCCTACTAGAGCTTAGGGCAAAACAGACGAACTTCCTTGATTTCTTTCTCTGCTGTTTGGTGATTGTTTTTTTCTTATCTGAAGATACAAACCTTGGAAAGTCTATGGGAGGCTCAGAGTCACCTCTGCCATGGGTGTTGAGGGCCTCATCTCAGATTGTGTGCAAGCGCAAAGCCCAGCGCCCAGATAACTGAGGCTGACTCCGGTCGCAAGGAGGCTGCAGGGTCAGCTTGGTTTCAGTTCTCTTTTCTTTTCTTGTATCTGAGTACTTCAATTTCTTTTCTTGTAGATTCAGCTATTCTTTTAGGCTAATGTTTGCTTTATCTTTTTCCAGCAAAAAGTATTTGTGGTTAAAGGGTTTGAAGTGTCCTAGTCAGCCAAAATAGCAGAACCAGAAAATATTCTTTATATATGAAGAGTTCATACAAATTAATAAAATACTAATCTTATAAGTGAGCAAAAGTTACAATTAGAGAATTTATGAAAGTTGAAATACAAATGTCCAGGGAACATTTGAAAAGGTCAAAAAATACAAATTAAACTATGAGATGAGATACAATTTTGACCCATCAAAGTCAAAAATATTTTTTAATGGAAAGGGCAAAAGTGTCAACAGCACAATGAATGGAGCCATTATTGTAACTCATTACATGGAATATCAATGGGTTATTTGAAAATAATTTGCTTTAAGAGCCTGACAAGTATGTTTTTCCCATGACTAATAGTTACACTTCTAAAATCTATCTTAAGAAAAAAATCCAAAATGCAGACAATCAGCATGTTTCATATTTAGGAAAAAAAATAGGCGTCATATTTTTCTTTTAAACGTGTATCACTTCTCTTGAAATCAGAGGTATTTTTATTTCACTGTAGTCTTTAGAGTCTCAGGCAAAGACAAAGATTGCCAGAAATCATGTAAAGGCTTACAAACAAATACTGTATATTAGGGAATGGTCATAGAGTATCTGATGGACACACCTGTTGGGTGGGTGCTGGCCCCTCCATAGGGCCAAGCTGAGGTATAGCTTGAAAAAACAGTGGAGTGGGAACAAATGTCTAAAACCTTATTCACCATTCAAGACTCAGCTACCTGCTCCCTTCTTACTGTAGGCACTTTCTCACCACCCCCCAGACTGAAGGGGGGGCTATGCAGTGTGCTCCCCATGGAAGTCTGCTTACTTCTGTCATAGCACTGGCTACTCTGCCCTGCTCTCCTCACAGGTTTGGGAGCTTCTTTTGGTCAGGACTGTGTGCCCTTTTCCTCTCTATCACGTGGGCACACCAAAGGTGCTAATAAACGTCTGTAGAATGAATGGGTACCTGCTCATTTCATAAATCTTGGCTAAGGTGGTCCACAGGGGACACGGCACCTTGCAGGGAGATAACACGAGAGCCAGGTACTAGGATTTCTTTGATGGTGACTTCCCCAACTTCCAGCACTGACAGGGAGTGTTTTGTTAGAGGCCCAGGCGCATGTGGGTCAGGAACCTGGCTGCCAAGATCCAGAGCAGACAATCTGGAGCTGGGAAGCATCAGTGATATTCCCCAGGAAACTTGTGAAACCTCCTGTTTATAAAGGTTTCTCCATCTGTTATAGTTTCTGTACTTACCCTCCTCCCACTCTTGGTAACACGGATGTTTGCATTCCACGGGGATTCCTGTCCCTAAAATGTCTGTTTTCTCCCACTGACACCACCGGCATCAGCCAGAGCCTAAACCCTGGCAGCCTAAGGAGACTTTCTGTTCCAAGACACTGTCCTCCTGCACTGCTCAGGAGCCTCCTAACCCGTCTCCATGCCTCAGCATCTGCCCTTCCCTCAAGCATTACCCACCCTCAAGTCAGATAGATCTTCTCAAAATATAGTCTGACAATGTCGGGTGATGTCAACTCGCCAGTGACTACTTTATTGCCTCAGGGACAAAGGCCTGGCATGTGGTCCTGATCTACCAAGTCTCACCTTCAGCCTGTCATTATCATACCTCAACCCTGCAACCACACACCTCTGTACATGCTGTTAATATCACCAGGATGTATTTCTCCTTTTTGCCTGAAGAACTCCTATTTTTACTTTAAAATACTGCCCAGACACCATCCTTCTGTAAAACTTTCCTTGACTACCTCAGGCTGCCCCCCTCCTCTGTGCTCCTATAGCAATTTTACAGAACCTTTTTAAAAAGAGTATGTCTTTAAAACATTTGTCTTGCTCACGGGTCTGCTATTCATCTCACAGTATCTCCCTTAGCCAGGCTCTCACTCCCTCTTCACCACCCAGACTTCATCTTCCACCTGGGTTGTTGTAATAGCAGCTTCGTGGCATTCCCTGTCTCTGGCTTTGCCCAGGAATGTACTGGCCTTACCATAGTCAGAGGGAACCTTCTAAACTCTGCATATGATCATGTCATTTCCCTGACTCAGATCTTTGGTTGGATCCCTAAAGCTTTCCAGGGTAAAGTCTAAAGTGTGTGTTGCCTGAAGGGGGCCCCAAAGCACAAAAGGTCTGGGGTCTGTCCTTTCACAAAGTGGAGGGAGCTCTCACAAACCGCGGGCTTCAAGTCAGAGTTAGCCGCTCTGGTTCACTGTGTCACAGTTGCTTTGAGGCCATTCATGTTTGGCCCCTTTGGAACAGCTGCTGCGAAGCCCTTGTGGGCAGCATTTGGCAGGGGCAGTGAACCTTGCTCAATCTGAAATGGGTCCTGGGGCAGCCCTGTTAGATGCAATCCCAGCCTGGAGACATCAGGGACCCACATTGCAGGCCCAAGAGGAGGGCAGGACTCTGGTTCCTTACCAGAGGGGCCGCAGCTGCGGCTTGAATTCTGATTCGCCAGTTTTTTAAATTCCATGAGCTCTGCATGGTCCTTCTCATACGTCCTCTTCAGGTTCTCCACGTACTGCATCATCACCTCTGTTGCCTTTGACATGCGCTTTTCCTGCAGGGAAGGAGAGCGTGGACACACGGGCATTTGGGATAAAGGCTCATCAGCACTTGTTTGCACTGAATGAGGCTCTGGGCTGGGTGAATCAAAAGGATACAGGGACCAATTAGACATGACCCTGCCCTCCAAGAGTTTGCTGCCCACCATGTAAGCTGAGACAGGGTTGCAGGCACCTGCACTCAGAGAACAAGAACAAGCACAGCCATAAAGCTTCAGGTGATGGCAGGTGGAAGAGAATCATCTCTGCTCACAGAGAATGGGTCAAGGAGCTTCATGGAGATAGAGTGAAGTAGCTATAGGGTGTAGGCAGCAGCTGGGCATTTAGACATGGACATCAGGGACAATGAGCATTCAGGACAGGGAACTCTAAGAGCAAGGGTACAGAGACAGGAAACCATAGGCCTTGTATCTGAGTAAAGGATTTACCCTCCAAACAGGAGTCCTTTGGAGAGCAAAAGGGAGTGCTATTAAGAATTATGCTGAGATCAAAGACCTAAATATAAGACCTGAAACAATAAATTGCATAGAAGAAAACATAGGTACTAAACTTACGGGTGTTGGTATTAGAGAGGATATTATAAATTTGATCCCAAAGGCAAGGGAAGCAAAAGCAAAAATAAATGAATGAGACTCTATCAAACTAAAAAGCTTCTGCACAGCAAAAGAAACCATCAGCAAAACTAAAAGGCAACCAGCCAAACAGAAGTGATACCTCCAATAAGGGGCTAATATCCAAAATATATAGAGTATACATACAACTCAACAACAACAAAAATACAATCTAATTAAAAAAATGGGTAGAAGACCTGAACAGATACTTCTCCCAAGAAGGCATACAAATGGCCATCAGATGTATGAAAAGATGTTCAACTTCACTTGCTATAAAGGAAATGCAAATCAAAACCACAATGAAATACCATCTCACACCTGTTAGAATAGTTATTATCAACAAGACAAGAAATAACAAGTGTTAGAGAGGTTGTGGAGAAAAAGGAACCCTTATTCACTTCTGGTGGGAATGTGAACTGGTACAGCCACTATGGAAAACAATATGGAGGTTCCTTTCTTAATTTATTTTGGGGTTCCAAAATAAATTAAGAATAGAGCTACCATATGACCTGGCAATACCTCTTCTGGGCATCTACGTGAAAATTTTGAAAACATTTATTTGTAAATGTTTATATGTACCTCTATGTTCACTGCAGCATTTTTCATGGTGGTTAAAACATGGAAACAACTTAAGTCCCCCTCAGTAGGTCATTGGATAAAGAAGATGTGGAATATACATACAGTGGAATACTGCTCAGCCATAAGAAAAGACGAAATACTGTCATTCACTACAAGATGTATGGATCTTGAGAATATCATGCTAACTGAAATAAGTCAGACAAAAACCAAACAAACAAGAACCATATGATTTCACTCATATGCGGGATACAAAACGGAAAGCAATAAATTAACAAAACCAAATGAACACTCATAAATACAGATAATAGCATGGTGGTTACCAGAGGGAACGGAGTAGAGGGAGGTAGAAGAGGGTAAAGGGGGTGAAATATATGGTGACAGAAGAAGATTTGACTTTGGGTGGTGAGCACACAATGCAATATTCAGATGATGTGATATAGAATTGTACCTTTGAAACATATAATCTTATTAACTAATGTCACCCCAATAAATTTAATAAAAAAATATAAAAGAATTATGCTGGGACAATAGGCAAATACTAGGACTGTCTGGAAAACTAGGGATGTACAGGTCATCCCACTTATGTAGGAATCAGCAAGCAGTTGGGTTTGTTCACAGTAAAGGCAGTTAGGGCTGGGTTATGAAGGGCCTTGTCTTAAAGTAAGGGAATGACATAATCAGGCCACCAGTGGAA